AGGCTTGAGCCACCGCGCCCGGCCTTTATCTAGTTTTTAATGTATTTTATTGTTTTGTAATTTTTTCCCTCATAAAATACAATATTTGCTTTGAGATTAATTCCAGATATTGCACAATACTGTTGCAATTATAAATAGTTTTAAAAAAATATTAATGACCCCTTCATTTCTTGCCCCTCCTCTCACTTCTCCTGGTTGTCATGTGTTTATTCTTACATATGAAGTTCAGCATCATTCTGTCAACCAAAAAAAAAAAAAAAGTCAGGAAGGTTTTGATAGAAAATAGGCGCTCTCTCGCTGTGTGTGTGTGTGTGTGTGTGTGTGTGTGTGTGTGTGTGTGTATATTTAGATGGAGTCTTGCTCTGTTGCCCAGGCTGGAGTGCAGTGGCGCGATTGGCTCACTGCAACCTCTGCCTCCCGGGTTCAAGTGATTCTCCTGCCTCAGCCTCCCAAGTAGCTGGAACTATAGGCATGCACCTCCACACCCAGCTAATTTTTGTATTTTTTGTAGAGATGGGGTTTCACCATGTTGGCCCAGATGGTCTCGAACTCCTCACCTTGTGATTCGCCCATCTCAGCCTCCCAAAGTGCTGGGATTACAGGCCTGAGCCACGGCACCTGGCTGGGCTTAATATATTTTTGTGCATGGAAGTCACATTTTTATAATGGTGACAAAAATATGTGAAAATTGAAGTCTGAAGTTTTGAGTAGAGACCATGATATAGTAGATGAGCTACTCCTAGATTAAATCATCAAATGCAGATGTCAAAACTTATATCCAAGAACCGGTTCCACGACTGTTGCATGCCTCACCCATCTCAAGAGTATAAAATGTAGATGGAGGATATGTTTTTTTGTTTTTGTTTTTTGTTTTTTTGGTTTTTTTTGAGAGGAGAGTGCTAATTGTGGACAGAGATTTCCTTTGGAAGAGTGGTAGGCTATACTGAGGAGCACTCATCATAGTATTCCCAAATTGGAAACAACCTATATGTCCATCAACAGGAGAGTGGATAAATCGTGATGGATTCATACAATGGAATAGTATGTGGCAATAGAAAATATACACTTCTGATGCACATAACAACATGGATGACTTTATAGAATACTATTGAGTGAAAATAGCTAGATGCCAAAGAGAACATACTACCTGTAATCTATTTGTATGAAGTTCACAAGCCGGTAAAACTAATTTACAGGGCTAGAGATCATAACAGTAATCTTTGAAGAGGTAATAACCAAGAGGTGGCATGAGGGAGTGTGCTGAGATTCTGAATTGTTCTATGTCTTGATTTAGATGGTGGTTAAACATACAGTATGCACATGTATATCTATGTAGATGTGCATACAACCCATGGGAGAAGAGAATTTTAGGAAGAAAGCCTTATTTTTTAAAAATTTTGTCCTCAAGGAGTTTAACAAACCAATTAATTCTAGGGATCAGTTCTATATTTTTCTTAGTTTTTCAGCAGGCGTATAGAAATACAGAAATACCAAGTGTACAACCTGGGAGCATGGCCACTATTTAGCCTTACTCAGACATTAGTCCTAGGATCTACATCTTCAAAATTGTGAAGTAGTGCAAAAAGATGAAGACAACTCATGGATGACACTGGATTTGTTAAGAAGATGTCAGAGACTGGTAGTTTCTGAAATTAGTTTCTTCCCTGATTCATTTACCATTTTCCCACCTTCATTAGTGATGAATAGTAATGTTAAGATATTTTTACTCTATTTCATCTGTCACCTGTTTTACTCTCTTTTTAATGTACCAGAATCTGAAACTGTCTTGATGATTTACTAAATATCTGTGTCATCCTTATATTAGTTATCTATGGCTATTGTAAAAAATTACCATAAACTTGGTAACTTAAAACAACTTAAATTTATTCTCTCACAGATCTTAAGGCCGTAAGTCCAAATCAGTGTCACTGCACTGAAATAAAAGTGTCAGCAGGGCTGGGCTACCTCCAGAAGCTCGAGGATAATTTGTTTTTTTGCCTCCTCTAGCTACTAGTGGCTGTCAGCACTCCTTGGCTAGTGGCTGCATCATTCCAGTCTCTGTCTCTGTGGTTATATTGCCTTCTCCTTTTATGTCTGGGTCAAATCTTTCACTTCTCTCTTATAAGGATACCTGTGATTGCACTGAGGGCCCACCACATAACCCTGGATAATCTTCCCATCTCAAGATCCTTAACTTAATCACATCTGAAAGATGCTTTTCCAAATAAGGTTAACATTTACAGTTTCCAAGGATTAGGATCTGATATCTTTACGTGGCTATTATTCAGCCTACACATCCCTCTACCAGAATGTAAATTCCATGGGAACAGAGCCTTTGTACGTTTTTTTCACTTCTGTGTCTTCAGGGTTTAGAGGAGTTGTGAACAAGAATGCCTGGTACATAGTAGGCAGTCACTAAATATTTGTAAATTTAATTACTTTTTTTTTTTTTTTTGAGACAGGGTCTCATTGTGTCATCCATGCTGGAGTGTGGTGACACAATCACTGCTCACTGCAGCCTTGACCTTCCGGGCTCAAGTGATCTTCCTACCTCCGCCTCTGAGTAGCTGGGACCACAGGCACCCACTACTATGCCTGGCTGGGTAATTTTTGTTTTTTAAAGTTTTTTTAGAGACAGGATCTTCCTATGTTGCCCAGGCAGGTCAGGAACTCCTGGGCTCAAATAACCTTCCTGCCTCGGCCTCCCAAAGTGCTGGGATCACAGGTATGAGCCACCATGTCTAGCAGTCACTGAATATTAATGAATCACTTTGATCATCTTCCTGTGGAATGGGGAGTTTTTGTTTTATTGAGAAAGACATACCTATTACCATTAGCTGTAATTTATAGTGACAAGTTTTGGCTTATCATCAGAGATAATATTTTAATAACCAGGCCTATTCACCTACAGGCCAGGTTGTTTCATAAAGGAAGAAACTCCTTGAATGTGGATGTATTCAAATAACATTTGAATAATTATCTGTTAGAGATGCTATAAAAGATATTTTATACAATGTCTAGAATTCTTATAAACCTTTTGTCTATTATTTTTAAAAACATTGAAGACCATTCCTCTAATTTTTGACCCCGTTAAGGGCATTGTACATGACAATCCACAAAGATATACTCTTTTTGGTGGATCAGCTCTATTTTTCTTTAGTATGTCAGAGTATCATACTGGAAGCTCTCAATGCTAACATGGTCCTCCTCACATAGAAAGTTTTTTTTTCTTTTTCTTTACAGAATGGCTCTAAGTCTTTAAATTATAACTTTTAACCCAGAAACTTACCATATGTGTAAAATATGATCACTAAAATAATGCAACTTTTTGTTTTGTATAACATTATCCTATTGATGTGCCCATATCCAAATGAATGTCTCTTAATCAAAGCAGTCATCTCAGAAATTGATGAGTGAAAAATGAGAAATTTTCTTCTAGACTTCCCTTCATATAAAATCACATATGAAAACTAGGCCTATGAGTTTAGCTAAATCTAGTTTTTGGCCAAAGCAGTTATGTCGGTTGGAATTTTTTTGTTTGTAAGTAACAAAATACACTGCCAAGGTACCTTATTATTATTTTCCATAACAAGAAACCTAGAAGATAGGCTGAAAAAGTGTAGTAGTTCCAAAAATCCTGTTCTTACCCAATAATAACAGCAAAGGAAAGGAGGAGGAGGACTCTTCTGTATCTCTCCTTTTTTCTTTTCCTTTTTTTTTTTTTTAAATAGTGGGGGGAGGGTTTTTTTACAAATGTCTTCCAAAGGACACTGTCTTCTGTCTCATTAGTCAGGTGGATCACATAGCCATCTAAGGAAGACTGGAAAAGAAATTTTCTTGCATTTTAACTGCCCTTATGTACAAGAAGGGGTTAAGTCTGTCCCCAATGGAAGTAGATTCTTCACACTAACAAGTACATATCCTCTTTCTTCGAATTCTTATGAACAAATCTGGTGAATCGAAAATGGGTGGTGGCAATGGTGGTGGGGGACTGGGGAAAGAATTGGGTACTAATACTTAACTAGGTACCTATAATTGTGGGCTAGCCCTACCTGCAGATGATGAGACTGAGGTTCTACATACAAAACTTATATAAGGTAAATTGGGTAGAAAGTAGTGACGCTTCCAGCACGGATCGTCATCTAATGATGATGGTGACGATGACGGTGATAATTACACTGGTTAATATTGAGCGCTTACTACACACCAGGCATTGTACTATCTACTTTATGCTGATTATTTCATTTAATTTTCAACCCTACAAAGGCAGTAGTCTGTTTTATAGATGAACAAACTGAGGCTCAACGACATGTATCTAGTAAACCTGTGATTAAACTCCAGTGTTGCCTCCAGGTCTGGGCATTTCTTTACACTGTTCTGCTTCCCTGTTCTAATGCCCATATGGTCTCCAAGACTACTGCCTCTGGGCTAAGCACTTTGTTAACTTAAGATACTTCATCTGCTAAATGGGGATAATTACACTTTATAATTCCTAAGAGTAGTAAAGGTAATAATAAATTTAAAGTGATTAACAATGAAACAAACATAGCAGGACAGCATTATTACTTTTGAACTTATCTCACTATATTGTAATTTTCATTTATGCCGTTTACCTACGCTCCTGGACTGAGATTATCCAGGGCAGCAGTTCTTAAATGTTTTGGACTCAGGGCCTCTCTATAAAGAATTACTGTGACCTCCAAAGAGCTTATGTTTATGTGGGTTACACCTATGACTACTGCATTGAAATGAAAACTGAGAAATGTTTTAAAACAACAACCACAAGCTCCCTTAGCTGCCAGAGATGACGTCGTACACAAAGCATATCCTCCAGGAAACGGTATACTTGTCTGTATTATCATGAAAATTGTTCTGAGGTCATCGGGATTTCCTGGGGTCCCTAGACCATACTTTATGAGAACTGCTGCCTTAGGGTAAAGATGGGGTGCCCGGAGGTTGGCGCTCAGTAGCGTTTGATGAACGAACCATGGGAGCCTGGGGTTGTTCAGATGAGGAAACCGAGAGTTAAAGGGGCCGAAATAAGCAGCGCCAGAGCTCCACTGTATTCACGGCCGCTACTGCGGCATCCCGGCAGCCTCGGCCCTTAGCAGATGTCCCCTCATCCGCCCCGAGGCACCCTCTTCCCTAGTCTGGTTTTTCAGGGGCCATTTCTGGCGCGCCCCGCCAGGCTGCCGGCGTCCCTGGTGCCCGGAGACAGGCCCCGCCCCGCCGCCGGTCCTCGAACTCCTGGCTGCCAGGCAACCCTGGCGCATAGCCCGGGCGTCACTGCTCCACCCCGTCAGGCTGAACCATTCCCTTCAGAGACTTTCTCAAGAGGGAAGGAGAAAAAGGAACTTGATGGAACGCCTGAAAGCTGTTCTGCTGCCGTTTTCTCTCCTTAATTTGAACGAACACTTCTTTTCTTCTTCTAGCCAACTACCTCCTGAAGGGCAACGCAGCAATTCGCCTCTCCCGCCAGCATGTCCCCCCCACCAGTCCAGGGCCGCGAGTAGTTCGGCTCGTCAGGGAGGCCGGCGGTCGGCGCCGGTTGGCTCTGAAGCGGGGGCGCGCGCCCGACGTGCGCGTAGGGGGCGGGGCCGCGCGCAGAGGGCGGGGAGGTGGGCAAGATGGCGCCTGCCGAGTGATCCTCCTCGGATCCCTCCTGCCGGCGCGGAGACACCGGGGCGGGGGTCCTGCAGCCGCTACCTCCCTTCCTCCTCTCCCCCGCCCCCGGAGCCTTCCTCCTTCCCTTCCCCCCTCCACCTCGGGGGGCGGGCCTGGTTCTCGGGACACCATGTCGGACTCTGAGGAGGAGAGCCAGGACCGGCAACTGAAAATCGTCGTGCTGGGGGACGGCGCCTCCGGGAAGGTCAGTCCTCGAGCAGGCCCGCCGTCCCTGGCCTGCAGGAACCCCGGCGCTCCCCGGCCTCCTCCCCGCCGCCCGGCGTCGCCTAGTTACCCCAAGCTCTCGGGCTTCTAGGCCCGGGCCCGTCTGGTTGTGTGGCCTGAGGCCAGACACGAAATGGGCGCTTGGTGAAGGCCGACGCTGTCCAGCTCCCCCTTACAAAAAAGTCACTTCCTAACTCGCCGTCTGGATTGCGAACTCCTGCAAGACTCAGGCCAGCCTTTCAGCTTCCCGCCTCTCAGGACTGGCAGGGATTTGCCAAGGCATCTTAGCTCCTCTTACTTGTAGTCCAGGTCACACTTGCTCCTCCCCTCCCACCCCCTTTACCGTTTCTGATGCTTCCACTGCACCGTGAGCCCCCAGGAGCGTGACTCTGGGATCAGTATTTCCCGGGTGAGAATAGGGGGCTCCGCCACTTAGTCGTCGAGTCATTGGAGGGCAAATTGCTAATCAGTTTGAGCTTCATCTGTAAGATGGGTATTGAAAAGGGCCGCCGCAAAGGGAGAAATGTGAAAATACATATTAAATGTGAAAATACACATAAAACCTTTAGAGCACAGTGTCCACTCTATACACGTTAGTTGCTATTTTAGTATCATACCTGTTCATCACCTCTGTTTCCAGCTCAGCACTCGGTACAAGCAGTCGGTCAACAAGTGTTTATAGAGCTCCTGTTATGGGCAGGATGCTGAGGCTAGAGCTGCTTGCGTGACAGAAGGGATCCCTGGTCGAATGAATGAGAGTATCAGGCAGCATCAGTCTTATTATCTCCTAGGCAGCGGCTCCTACCCCAAGGTTGTGAAACTCCTGAAATGGACTGAAAAGTACCCGGTGCTTGCTCTGGGGAGACGGTCCATAAGATCTCAGAGAGGTCTGTGATCCCTCCACCAACAAAGTGAAGAGCCTCTACCCGGATGCCTTCTTACGTATGCTTCTGTCAAAGGCGCCAACACTTTCTGGGATTATTGCTAAAGTTTATCTCCCCTCTACTCCCCTCCCTTATCCCAACCATAATCTAAAGAAACCCAGGCTCTGTTTCCTGTTTAAGGCTTCACATTTCCCTGTTGCTGGTCGCAGTTTGGACCCTGGTTTCTCTGGTGACAACTTCTCTTTGCATCCTCCCTGGCATAGCTGCTTCTGCCTTTGGTTCTGACATTTGAGTTTCGAGGTCCCCTGGGAAAGATGTAAAATTTCATATGCAAAATTTGGAGTATTTTGTTGTTTTTTTTTCTTGTCTTCTTGGATCCTTTGTTACAGATTTTTAAAGCTGAGGAAAACAATATGCTATGATTACATTTAAACTTTGGGGGAAGAAAGGAACTTGGGGTAACTTTTCTTTATAAAGTATATTAACTTTTGTATACTTAGTAAACTTTTCGAATGAATGAATTGCTATAAATAAATCATCATTGTTTCTAACACCTTTATTCAATAAAAAGTTTGTTAGATTTTTATAGTTTCCTCGTCATTTAGATTTTCTTTTGAAGGCCGTCTACAGTTTTGGCTCTTAAATTTTACTGTATTCAATTCATAACTGTTCTTATTTCCCTTTTAAAATGATAATGACAACGCATAACATAATACATTTGTAAAAAGACACAAAAATTGCTGGTTATCCTATATGCTATCATAATTCTTTAAACTTTTGTTCATTTTTCTAACGGTATTTATTGTACATATATTACTCAGTGAAATTTGTTCATAATTTTGGGTCTGAGTTTTTTATTTAACCTATCATACACGTTTTCCCTTTGTTGCTAATTTAGTGTGAATAATTACAGTTTTTTATTTCTGTTTAAAATTTTTTCTGGTATAGGACAGCATAATTTTTTTCACTTCCATGTTTTAGAGTTAGTATTATCATTCTGCTTCAAAGGATAACAGTAATATTTTTTATGGTGCTCTGACTTAATCTTCATCATCTTGCCTAAATAACTTATTTTAAAACTGTAACAGTTTTTTCTAATAGGAACTTCCAGACGCAGACATCTGACACCTAACCTTCTTTCATTATTCTTAAATCAAGAATTTTTTTCTCCATACCCTATTAAGTTCTCAAATACTTGGCAGCCACCAACATTCCCATTCTTTTTCCTTTATTGTTCTTTTCTTTGTGAACTCAGCCTCTCTTTCATTCTTATTTGTATCCTGATTTAACTCTTGGCTCTTTTTTCCTAGCATTTGTTTTTCCTGCTCAATCTAACTCTGAGCATTTTTCAACACACTGACAGATGCAGTAGAGTATTGAGATGATGACTTAACAGTTTCTCCAAGAGAAATTTAGCTCCTCCCTCCAGTATCACGTGTTTCTATTTCTTTCCTTTTCTGATTCATATTTTTTCTTTTATTACATAATCTCTTAAGAGCTTTTTGAGGCAAAATATTCATTTTTTTCTGTCTTTCCAGTGTTTGTAAATGTAGTATGGTTAAAAAATGTTCATAGAAATTTACCAAATCAAAAATGTTAGTAGAAATTTTCCAAATCAAAAAATATAAAGATTCAGATAAAAATATTTCTGATATGGAAGCTAGTTGTTCACTTAATACCTGTAATTAAGAAGGATATTTATAGAGTGACTTGAGAAATTATTGAATGTGTAAGATTGCATGCAGTCTAGATAATTGAAGAGAAAGTGACCAACACTGGTTCAGTTGATTCTCTGTTCAATTTTTATCTCAAGATATTAGGAGATGATATAGTAAGAACTTGCTTTAATACTCTGTATGTTCCCAGTAACCTGTATTTTTGACAGTTTATACTCGATTCCAGTTGAAAATCCCAACTTTATATTTGCCTCAAAAGTGTGAAAGCAGGGCTTTCAAAATCTAGAAGTCACTTTTTCAGGAAAAGAAACTTCCTTAGAAGTTTTCTGAATACTCCTTAATATGAAAATATTGAACTCTGCGGTTCTTTAAAATGAAAAATTATCTCAAATGACATTATGTGGCTGTTACACATGCCTTCAGTTTCTCTTTGACCTTTAACTATCAGTCTATTAAATATTTTGAATTACCTGTAATAATATAAGTAGTGATAGTTATTTTTTTCTAGAATTCTGAACCTCATCAAAGATAATTTTGTGGTGTAAGTTAGATAAGGTCAGTAGAATAATATAGTGTAAATGAGAAACAAAAGTCTGTAAAAAGAAATACCTATCTTTTCAATTCTGATCTCTCAGTTTTGATATTGTTACATGTGTCAAAAATACAACAACTGTGTTTGTTGCTAGATGTCTAGCAGAATATCCTTCACATGGTAGTGCTCAACAAATACTTGGCCTTAATAAATAAATCTTAGAAATTTATTACAAATGCTGGGTGTTTAAACACAAAAATATTTGGAATTACGGTGTCCAAATTGCCATTTGTGTGAAAAATATTGTTCTGTGTAAAAGGAAATTTAGATGAACTTGCTAAAAGGAATTGAAGTTTGGCCAAATTTTCTTTTGCACTGTTGTACTACTTATGTCATAATGAACTGTAATCAGCTGTCTTAGAAATTTTATCTTAGTTTCCATTATTTTAAGAGTTGACATGTAATTTTAACTTTTAAAATAGAAAACAGCTATTTTCTCTTAACATAGAGAGCCTGTCTTGAAGAGCATAAAAGCCAAGTGAAGTTGCCTTTCTCTTTTTTGGAGGAAGTTTATAAATAAAAATAGTGCATTTAAAATGTTTAAGGATTTGTTGAGTTATTGTTATTTATTTGTTACTAGAAAATTCTTCTTTTGCTTTGATAAGAAATGATACTTTAAAAAGAAAACTCCAGAGTTTTTGACTAAAACTTTGAGTTTCTATTTAAAAAAATGTATATCTGTTCTGGTTATAATAGCTTGTGACTTCTTGGCATTATGGTTCTTGGATGGAAAATATTCATTTTGTCTGCTTTATATTAATCTTCAAAATACCAACTTCTTTATTTAAAAGATACATATTGTCACAGTCATTCTTTAGGGTCATTTTCAATTAACATCTTTAAAAATAAAGAAAAATTACACATGATACTTTTCCTGTGGGGAAAAGAAAAATTCTGTAAGCAGGTTTCTCCCTCCTTAATTAATGCTTCTTATTATTAGCTGAGGGCTCAGCTACCCTTAGAATATTTAGCCTCAGAAACTGATCTAAGTTAGATAAGATCTTTAATTATGTTTTAAAATAATTCAGATCTTTATTATTATTATTATTATTTTTTTCTGTTGATAACTCTCAAATTCTGATTTTCAGCAAGGAAAAGGATCTTGACAAGCAGGGGATTTAAAGAGATCTAACCCATTAGTTTATTGTCCTTACCGATAGCTGCTGGCAAGTGAAATTTACCTGGTGGTGTTAAGTCTCTCCCGGCCTTGTAACTGATTAGAACGACTTAAAGTTGCTTGTTGGATTAATTGGAGTATACATGTTAAGATTGCTTAATAAGATTTAGTAGTGGTCTTATGATTCCATTTCTTTAATGAATTAATTTTGACATTCTGTGCGTCAATTTTTTAGACCTCCTTAGCTACGTGTTTTGCTCAAGAAACTTTTGGGAAACAGTACAAACAAACTATAGGACTGGATTTCTTTTTGAGAAGGATAACATTGCCAGGTAAGAGACTAAAAAGTCTTAACGTAGAAGATTATAAAAAAATCTTACAATAAATACCATAAGAAAGAAATGTGTAAAATTTTGGGGCTGTTTCTACATGAAGATGTATAGAATCAGTATATTTATCTTAGGGAGGTTAACTTTCATCACAATCTATCATGAAGGCATATTGTCCACGGGTGTGAGAAAAAGTTTATATACTCTCCCACTCCTTCCCTGTTTTTGGCTACTATACATTTTTTGAGGATAAACAATGGTTGCTTATAAAATTCTGAAAAGCTTTTAAAAAATTAAGTGCTATACATTTGTCAACAGATATTGTATTAACAAAATGTGAAAAGATTGGGAAGGATTATTTTTAAAAATATTATTTTGATTTGCCTCTACTTTAGTTTTTTTGTTTAAAGTTGGAACAGAAGTATAATGTAGCTATGGAACTTCTGTGCTCTAATATGTGAATGCTGTTTTATGCAAGGCAGCATGAAATTGCTGGCATTTAATAGACCACTAAAATTTAGGGTCCCTAGGCACTCATAAAAATACAGTTTGAGCATTCAAGATGTTTCACTTCACCATGCAAAGAAACTATTTAGATGCCAGTTGCAGCACATTTTGTGGGAAATACGGGGAAATAATAACAAAGAAAGAGTGGTTTATGTTTTAAGTTAGTTTCTGAACAATTGGGGCTTTAAAATGCTGTCTTTTTAATTTCAATGGTTAAATTATATGTTTAAAGTATTTTATTAAAAGCAGTTTATCTTGATTGACTTTATAAACCATCCGTCCCTCTCCTCTGTGAGGAAGCACATTTGGAGAAAACAGTTGCAAGTGTAATGTCAGATTCATGTACTGAAATGTGAGTGATATAGTGGGAAGGGGTTTAATACATTCCAATTATTATTGAAATATGTTAACCTCTCAGACACCCCATCTATCAGACAACTCCCCATGAAAGTTTTAGAGTAGCTAATGAAAACTCTTGGTAATGGAGGTATTCTTCTTATCTCCTTAGTAATATACTTTGTTATATTTTGTGATGGTTTGTATTTGGCTACCAGTGAAAAATAGATTAGGAGATATCCCATGAGAAAAAAAATAATTTCAATTTTTCCATTACTGGGTTATTGTTCAGCAAGAGGTTTAAGGAGAAACATATGCGTACTTTGTTTCATTTGTATTTTCTTTTAATGTATCCAAAACTGAAAACGTCATTTTAATTTTATTATTCTTCGTCTTACCGATAATCTATGCTGCATTCAGAATTCTTAATAGCAGTCACTAGCCGAATACATACACAAATCACATAATATAGAGGCTGGAAGCTTATTTTTGCAGCAGTTTTTTTCACAGATGCCAGTTGTACGCAGAGAGTCTCAATATAATATTTTGCTATTAGCTATTTTGTTTTGATGCTTAATTTGAAAAACCACCACACCAACTTTTTGTCTCATTACTTTTAATATTTCTCATTTTTTAGTTGAAAAACTTAAATAAAGAAACAAGTACCTACTCAAATATTAAAAACAAAGACTGGTTTTTAGACATTTCATACAGGCGATATATGTGATGATTTCTGACCTGTAGCACAGCACTACCAATTTAAAAATTTTGATTACTTTGTAAAAAATATTTGATATTCTTGAAATCTAGATTAATAGTATAATATTTTAGACTTACACAGTACTTAGGTTAAAAAATGAAATTAGGGCATGTATACTCTTAATGAATGTATATTTTAATTTTCCTAGTTAAGTTTTTATTTTGATGGTAAAGTTCCAGAAAAAAAGTTCTATTTTTTTTAAGGCAGTTGGTTTTATGCTACTTAACAGACTCAAACTTATAGTAGAAATTTCAGTAAGAAAAAAATATTTTAATTATTTTGTTTTTATATAATTAATAAGTATATTAAGAAATGAGGTGAATAAATTACAAGGTTTATAATTATTCTTTATATACTTTAAATTCATTATAACTGTCAAATGTAGGATCATTAATATATCATTAGCTGAATAAAACATTACAGGTAGCTTTATTGAATTTATAGCATAGTCAGTGAATCTAATATTTGTTAGTAGTCTAGTAAGTCCTCTGACCAGTTAGATTGTTAGGGGTGTAAACCTCCTGTCCATCTATTTACATTCTCTTCATGCAAGTTTTCAAGATCATTACTTTGCAAATACTCATCCATTTTAGTATATTTCATGATCCGGTATGCTGTATAGTCTGGATGCAACCACTGTGCAGATTTTACTGCTTAAAATAGTGTATCTGTTAGTCAGAGATTCTGCTGATAGAGCTTCTTAAGAGTCTTAGTCAAATACTTTCAGGAAGCTTGTGGGTACAGTCCAGTAAACAGCGTTCTACTGTGAAAAAGATTTCTAAGTCTTTAGTACAAGAAGTGGGCAGACTTGTGTTTTTAGTTCCATCTTGACTATGCAGCACTTTAAGTAAGGTTAACCAAGGCACCAAGTGTACTTTTACAAGGTCACTGTTGAATCCTCTTGGTGGCTTTAATTCATACCAAAAGCAACTTACCTGTGTTTTGTCACCTCATTTATTTTATTTTTTCTTCTAGTTACATGTCATTTCTTACAGAGGAGCAGGAATTTTGTAGCATTCTGGGTTTGGGATTAGATTTCTGACAATTTCCTTAATGTTCTGTATCGGTTAGAAATTTGTATTAGATAGATTCTTGATTTAAACAAAATTATAATATTATTTGAATATTCTTATATAGCTTTATAGGTGTGTCATCTTGAAAATATACTAGGAGAATTCATATGTTTATGCCTGCAAAAACAAAAATGAATATTGATTTGAATCATATCCTCATGCGATTTTGCTCCTCAAATAAGGAATCTACATTTTATGTTTAGCTTTATGTGTTAATAATCCTAAAATTAAAATATGGAGTTAAAAATATATTTCTAGATATAAGAAGTAATATGAAGTTAATATCATTTGTTGAAACTGTAAAGATAGTAATTTTTTGTTAGCATTCTATATTAGTGGACTATCAGTAATTCGTAGCTATTTTTATTTCTGAGTCACTATAATTTATATGTTTAAAAAAACAGGCAAACACTGACAACAGAGTTTATTTGGAAAGGCATGCATTTAAAAAGTATCCTCAACACATGAATATGGGAGACAATTGGATAGATAGATGATTTAGGGTCTTGATATGATTGTAGTCAGAACTTGAAAACATGTAATGAAGATCATGTTCCTGAAATTGTAGTCAAAGTGTTCACAACACCTCATTCAGATAGGATCTGAATATCAGAACTTAAAGAAGAAAGCTTTATATTTTTTGTTGTGAGGTTAAGCAATAAGGACTATTGACTCTGAAAAAATGGGATTAAACACCTTTTAGTGCTTATTTAGTATTGCCTAAAATCTTCCTCTGTAAAAGTTAGTATTGTTAAGCACTGTCTTTTGAAGTAATCAAATAACTCTAAAGAGTTGTGCAAGTAAAATGAATAGCCTACTGCCTGCTTAGGGGTTTCTGAAACTATTATATATACTTCTTAGTGATGGCTAGCCCTTTGTTATCTGCTTAATTTGAGACAGCATTATAGAAAAATTATTTCAGCCTTGAATCTCAAAAAATTTAGATTTTTAAGAAATTCGATTTGTGTAAGTTTTTGGACACATCTTAGTCTGTGACGTTTTGGTTTTTGTATTCATAGGGCTTTAAGAACATTTTGGTCATTAGTGTAAGTGTAGAAAGTATGTGTCTGTAGGAATAATGGTGGTGATAAAACATTAGCGCTCATTAATGCTAATGGAAGTTCCTCGTGGAAATCCTCTGCACAGTGGCAGACGGAACAACCTATGTTTAAATAATGGAAAGATTGTAATACAAACTCACCAAAATTTAGAAAACTGTGCTGGTTAATCAAATGTCTTTTTCTTTTCAGTTGCATAGTTAAATGATATGACTAACTGTCTCTGATTTTAGTGTTTTATGTTGGCGTATAAATGTATATCTTTATAATCTTTTTTTGAAATGAGATCATTTTTCAGTTTCTAACGTTTTATTTTATATTCTTTTGATTTGCAAATCATTCAGAAAGTGCTAATTGAGACTCTGGAGAAAACTCCATAATCTTATGAGGGATATAGTTTAAAATGTTCAACTAAATAGCATAGTTTGGCTTTTGTAAGCATACTCATCAGTTGCATTGAGAAGAGAGAACACCTTATCTCATAAATTTTTGTATCAACCAAATATTTTACAAAATGCATGAAAGGATTTTAAAGATTCCCTTTTAGAATGCTTTTATAATGCTCATAGGGGAAGATGATTAGTTACACTATTTTATGAAGGCTTGGAAGTATACATAGTTTGTTTAAATGGAAATGCTTTGAACAAGTTTGAATACATTGTAATATTTAGTGATATACATGGTATGTATCCTACATTTGTTCTGAATAGGGCTATCAAATGTGTTTCTATTTCATGGGTTAAATTTGAAAACACAATTTTTTGGTTATGTTTGCCATATCCTAGAGTAGCTGACAATCACATTATAAAAAGATTCATTAATCTGAGCTGAAATTATGGGTGCATTTTTATAGTTTGCTATTATTCCATGAGTTTTAGAACCCATAGAGTTTAGAACCTACAACAAAATTCATATATATGATTGTATGGTTGAGTATTTAAAGTTTCAGTTTTTATTTCTAAAGTACATTTCTTGCTCCATGGATGTGTGTTTCATTCTGTTCTCTAAGAAAAACGTTTTTCTAAGGCTTAAGTTTATAAATTAAAGCTTACTTTGTTTTGTTTTGAAAGTGATTGTAAATATGGTCCCATGGAAATGGAGTAAAAGGATAAAACTAGATTCTCCACTATGATTTCTTTTGACATTGTTTTCACAATTCCAAATATCATGTGAGCCTGTACATAAAGGCAAATTGGGCTCAGTTTCTTATTGTGACTTAGTATTCTGTGATACTGTGTCAGCTGTTGTATTGTTACTTAATTTTTTTGATATTTTTATATTCATTTTTTATATTCTAGGAAACTTGAATGTTACCCTTCAAATTTGGGATATAGGAGGGCAGACAATAGGAGGCAAAATGTTGGATAAATATATCTATGGAGCACAGGTATGATATGAATTCTGATTATTCCAGTATTGAAAGTATAGCATTTAGAAGCACATATGCAAATCTACACCCAAATGCACATACACACACATATACTTTCTTTCTAACTTTTTATCTGATATGTAGAGAGAATAATTTTATGTTTGTGCTAGTCCTTTGGTTTCATTCTCTCCAAATTATGTTTGGAATGATTTGGGTGAGGGAATAGGAAAACTCTTTAACAGCTTTCGTATGGTATTTATATTACTAGGTGTTATTGTTAGCAGTTCAATAAATGCAGTGATAAATGATATTTTGATATTTATTAGCTGGTTTGGTTATAGTGACTACTTTCAAATAAACTGAATGAAAAATACAGGGATGAAAATTTAACTTCATTTTAAGTTACAAGGACTAAAAGCATATCTATTTGTCTATATTTTTGTGTAATGAATATTGATAGCTTTTCAGATTTAATAGACATGTCAATATTTTCTATCAGATAACTAAATATGACAGTGTATATGTGAAACACGTACAATAATTTATGATAATGCTGTATTTTCAGAAGAAAATCCATGTAGAGCAAGAAAAATGAAAGTGAAAAATGAAAAATGACCTGAATAATTACATAAATTTGGCCACATGAGCTTATATTCTCCATGAGCTTATATTGATATAATTTATAAGATTTTAAATAAAGTTATTATACAAATAGAAAATATACAGGGTGGTAATATACTTTAAAAAGTTAATCATTTCTCTCTGAGCATGTTCACTGAAGAATTGTCTTTTTAATATTTGGCAGATTGCTTTTGATTAAATGACACACTTTAGAAATGCAGTAATACTATTGAAAGTAATCATCCGATGAAGTAGAGAATATGGTATATAGCCAAATATTAAGTACGTTGTGCTTACTGAGCTCTGTATGTAATACTTGATGTGCTATTTCTTTATTTTTGCTTTTTTAAATTAGTGTGTATCTTCTATATCATCTGTGGACATAGGGGTAGTAGTAAAAATTTTTAGTTCTTTATTAGAGTTTGGTATTTTAAGTGGGACAAATATAACTTGGTTATGTGGAACCATGTTGCTCATAATAAATGATTCTATAGGGTGGAGATATAGTAGGTTAAGCACTGCTGTACAAAGTTTGGTTCATGTCAAGTACCATTGCCTTGATTGTGGATGAAAAATAGATTCTGATTTATTTTATAAAATATTCAGAGAAGGACAGTATGGTTATAGAGGCTAATATGGTTCTGAATCACATATAAAGGCCCTAGAGTTTTGATTTTTTACATTGCTGATATAGAGATTTGGCTCTTAATGCTCTTATCTTTTATACATGGTTCTTTGTCTCCTGCAAAATTTTTCTGTTCACATTTATAGCATTTTCATCTGTGGTTAAGTGACTTGATATTTTATGCATGTTCATTTTTCTCTTAAAAAGTACATCTCAGAATTTTGTGTATGGCTTTTTTGTTTTATTTATTTATTTATTTTTCTGTTTTAAACTGATTAAAGTGGATACTAAGCTAGATAAAACTTGCTGGACAGAGATTTGTGGGAAGCCACAGTTCTTGTTTCATTCATGTGGTTGATAACATGGGAAAATAACACTCTTATCTTTGTTCCATAAAATCTGTCTATAAGGCCACATATAGGATTTTTAAGAAAATGAAGATTCGATCTAACTTCTAATGAAATTTGACTCTTGGTGTCAAATGGAATAGTCTTTTATGATTTATAGGTGCAACCAGAGTTAGTGGAGAACAGGAGGACTTTATGCATTTCAGGGTAAATAATAATATATAATTCAATTAATACATTTTTCTTTCCTTAAAAATTAGGGGAATATTATGCCCATGTGTTGAATTCTATTAATTCTATCTTCAAATCATTAAAAAATTTATTATCTAATTTATTTAAATTATTTAAAATTTATTACTATTATATAAAAATTAATATTGATGTGAAATTTGTGTATTATAAAGTTAACCATTCTAAAGTGTAATAATGAGCTATACGCAGTGGCTCATGCCTGTAATCCCAGCTAATTGAGAGGCACAGGTGGGAGGATCACTTGAGCCCAGGATTTTGAGGTTTCAGTGAGCTGTGATCACACTACTGCACTTCAGTCTGGGTGACAAGTGACACTCCATCTTTAAAAAACAAAATAAAGAAAAAATAAATTATATAATCAGTATCATTTAGTGTACTCACAGTATTTTGTGACCATTTCCTTAAGTCAGTTTTTGACAGTATATATTTTATGTTATAACAAAGCTGCCTACGATCAGCAGACATTAATGAGAACATTGGTAGACATTTCAAGAATTTCCATCTTTTTTGAAAGTCCATAAGTTTAGTAAAATGTCTTCATTATTTTTTAAGGTACTTTATTTCTTGGGAGAAAGTGAATGTTATATTTCTTAGAACTTGTATAAGGTTTCTATCTTGAAGGTACATACTGACTTTTTTCTCTTTTGGTAGTGCGTTTTATTGTTTATACTTTACGATTGCTGTGACACTTATATTCATGTACTGTGTTTTTATTAAACAACAATGTACAGTATTTCTGAGAAATTCATGAATCTTTCTATGAAATTGCCTGACAAAACTGGGAATTCTGAGATGATGAAATGAATTGTTAAAAATAGATGATAGGGCATGGGGGCAGGCACTTGTAGTCCTTGCTACTTGAGAGACTGATATGGGAGGATCACGTGAGCCCAGGAGTTTGGGGACTGGAGTGAGCTATGATCATGCCATTCTACTCCAGCCTGGGTGAAAGAGCGAGACTCAGTTTATAAAGAAAAAAAAAAAAGGATGATAATATAATAATTTTTTCTGCTTTCCAGAGATTCCAAATAAATGCTGTGTTAAGTGCATAAAGTCATTGACCAGTGGTCTATTTTGTTAAACTATTTTTAAATTCTATATCCAGGCTAGAGAGGCTGTGACTCATTATTTACTACTATAAATTGGAGAAAATGTTACTTTTCAAAACCAGTGATTTCAAAAACATCCTGATAGCATTTTAATAAACTCAATAATTTTATATAATAATATAATTATTCTTCAAAGTAGATCTATATTGCTTCTGGAGTTATAGATGCTTTATATTACCTATCTCATGAGTACTTTAGATTTTGGTATACTACAGGACAGAAATCTTCCACAGAAATGTTGAGACAAGCTTTTTCAGGATATCGGTTTAATGTGTTATTTAGGGTTTATTTTAGGTTCTCTAACTTCTGTAACTTCTGTATTGTATATAGAAAGAATTATACATGTCTGGGTCATTAAACTAATCAATCTGTTTCTTTAAAGCATTTCTTAACATCTGCATAGAAGCTTATTTGTAGGCTGGGAGTTAACTTGGACCCAAATAAAACCGATTATTTTACCCTCTTCACTCCCCTTACCCCCAGCAACATTTAAACGTTAGCAGTAGCCTGTTGAAAGTGTTGGTGAAAACTAAATTGAATTGACACCCCAAAAAGAATTAGTGAGGTATTTTGACAAGAACTAGTTCTAAGAATTGAAATATGTCCCAGTTAAATTCCCAGATTTTAAATTAACTTAAAAATTTCTAGGAGTCTTTAGAAAGATGTTATAGGCGATTTTTCATAGTGGTTAAGAGCAAACACACAGTACATAGTGTTTAGTGCCCTGTAACCTGTGGCTAACAGAGGCAAATAACAAACCTCAGAGAAGGACTGGATGTTTCATTTTTGTAGCTCTTTCTGTCCTGGAATCTAAGTGGTTTGCAAACACTGACCCACTGAGCATAAACTCAATGAAGTGTAGTCACTTGTGAGGTAGAACATAACCACTATTATGTACCAGTGGCCCCACACAGATGAGCCTGCTTTTTAAGTACCAACAAAAGGATTTGGTGCCTACATGACAGCTAGGGAGAGGGTGCATCTTAAAACTGGACTCTGCAAGACCTTCTGCTCTCTTTTGCTGTAAGTTTTTTAGTTGGATATTTGCCAACTTATAACATGTTTGTGCACTTTCTTTGCGTGTTTCTTACAGGTTATACTTATAAAGCAAGATATATGTTGTTAATGGCTATTATATAATCTGTATGATTTAATTCATTTCTATATATAACTAAAAAACTAAAGCAGATTATTTGTCTTGCATATAAGGGAGAAAACAAATAACCTGCATTTTGGGACTGGGAAACCTTTCATTTTTTGAGAATGTTAAACAGTAACAGTGTGTGTACTGTGTTTAGCACATGTTACACTGAAGAACTATATCTGTGCAATGCTTTACAAGACTGTTACTTGGTAGGCATCAGTGTTTGTTCTTTCAAAACTTCTTTCAAGGCCAGGTCAGTGGGTCATAATCCCAGCGCTTTAGAGGGCCAAGGCAGGATAATTGTTTGAAGTCAGGAGCATGAGACCAGCCTAAGCAACATAGTGAGACCCTTTCTCTACAAAAAATTTAAAAAATTAGCTGGGCACTGTGGTATATGCCTGTAATCCTAGCTACTAGAGAGGCTGAGATGGGAGGATTATTTGAGCCCAGGAGTTCGAGGCTGCAGTGAGCCATGACTGCATTCCAGCCTGGGGAACAGAGCAAGACCCCATCTCTTAAAAAACAAAAATGCTGTCAGTTATTACCTTGAAAATGGTATCCATTTGATTTACTCTCTCATAATGCTTATTAGATATGGTGGTGAGTGCAATAGATGAAAACAAACTACTATATAAACTAACATTATATAATATTTACTAAAAATCTTGATGTTTACAAAATACTATGGATGGTAGTATTTTCTTGGAATCGAAGTTGGAGGAAGGCAGTTAAGGCATAAAGTGAAGGAAACTGTTGTTGAAGAGGGATTTGTTAAACTTGAAATCTGATTTCCAAAGGTCATGTAGAAGATTTGGGAAGAAGAGCAGCAGCTGAAAGGTAAATTGGGAAGTGGAAGGAAAGGATGGTATGGGGTTGAAGACATAGGAGAGAGATAAATGTCAGATATGTGGTTGATAACA